AAAATACTTTCCATGGGTTGTTCACTCACCCTGGTTGTATGCCAAAGTCTTCCACATAAGTAACCTTGCTGCTTCTGTGTTTTGATGAAAAAGATTCCCTGTGGCCTGAGGGGGAAAAAAGAACAAAGCTACCTGACGACAAGGTAGCGTTGAATTTCATGCTCACCTGTAAAGGTAAAAGCGGCTTTAGCAATTAAAATTGGGTTCCCAAAGAGGAATCCCAAATCCTGTACTGCAGCTCCCTCTAGTGGCTATCAAGCAGACAAGCAGACACAAAATTACAATATATTTACAGGTTGCTTCATTTGCAGGTACTTTAGTCCCGGGCTTAAAACGACCACAACGGTTGCTATGTGTTCAGTGAGTTTTGCCCTATTTTCCGACCTTTCTTGCCGCTGTTGTTAAGTGAATCACTGCAGTTATTGTTGCTAGCACGGCTGTTATGGGAAATTTGGCTTCTCCCGTGGACTTGGCTTGTCAGAAAGTTGCAAAAATCACATGACCTGGGACATTTCAACCATCATAAGTACCATGCTTCCTTGAAAATAAGACCCTGTTTTACGTGTGGTTGTTTTTTTTGCCACCAAAAAAGTCACCGGGTCTTATTTTCGGGGGACATCATCCACCGACTCACCTCACTTGCGCGCGTCGCCCCGGCCTCCTTCCGAAACGCCTTCTTCTGTGGCCAGCAAGGCTTTCCTGAAGGCCGCTGTGGCTGATAAGAGAGCTCAGGATCGATCCAGGGTTTTGTGATCAGCTCCAGATGCCTTCCAGAAAGCCTCGCCAGCCTTGCCGGCTGCAGAAGAAATGGGCCGGCAAGGCAGGTGTCAGGGTGTGTGAGGCCTGGCCACACCTGTCCAAAGGTAAGTAGTAGGGCAGTTCCTAGCTTAATTTTTACCCTTCCACTCTGGAGCGGGTGGGATCTTAATTGGGGTTTATTTTGGGTAGGGCTTATATTGGTGCATGTGTAAAAATCAAGCTAGGTCTTACTTTCAGGGTAGGTCATATTTTCAGGGAAACAGGGTACATGCCAGTTGCCAAGGCTCTAAATTCCAATCGCATGAAGATGTTGACAAAGGCATAAGTGTGAAGCATGACTGTGCCGTTGTAACTTCGAACAGTCACTAAACAAACAGCTGCAAGTCACTTACAACAGTGCAGGTAACAGATAATCAGAGTTGGAAGGGACCTTGTAGGTCATCTAGTCCAACCCCCTGCCCAAGCAGGGAGACCCTACACCATTTCTGACAGATGGCAGTCCAATCACTTCTTGACAGTCTCCAGGGATGAAGCTCCCACAACTTCCGAGGGCAACTTCTGTTCCAGGGGTGGATTGTTCTCCCTGTCAAGAAAATTCCTCCTTATTTCCAGGTTGAATCTCTCCTTGGTCAGTTTCCATCCATTCTTCCTTGTCTGCAATGACAATAAAACTAAAAAGAACTTTGGAGACAATGTTTGGAGGTTTTCTGGAACGCTGACATCCTCTTTGGGTGACAAAAGTTCGACCTATTGAAAGGTTTCTCGCTGCCCGCCAGGTCAAAACCAGTAACCCAGCGGGATGCTGGTTACTCATTGTCCCACTGGGGCCCATAAAATGGGGAAGCACCCAGGGGAAGCACCCAGAGTTTATCCAGAAAAGTCCTTGAATGTCAACACCTTGAACTCAGCACACCTGACTCACTTCTCCATGCACCGCAATAAAATAATATAACTGGGACGCCTATAAAAAGTGGGCGATTACGGCCGCCTCTTTTTTTTTTGCGGACCGAGGGCGCCCGGGGCCAGTCGTTGTACGTGAGTGTCTGCTTTGAGAGCCCGGGGTGGGGGTTGCTGGAGGGTGCTGGAGGGGGGAACCAGACCCTAAAAGGGGTCCCGCTGGTACGGAGGACGCCAAGGTGTGGAATTTACCTGCAGATCCACTTTCTGGAGTGAAAAATCGATCAAAGCTTTCTTTTTTCCCCTTTCTGGTGTGTGTGTGTGTGTGTGTGTGTGTGTGTGTGTGTGTGTAGCTAGGAAGATTTTTGGGAAGACCCTTCACATCCGTGGAAGCATTAAGAGCCTCCTCACTCTTGTCTCTTTTTCCAGCTTGGGTTCGGAGCGCGAAAATGGAAGGCGCCTCTTACCCAAAGTTGCTCTTCGTTGCAGCCATCGTGCCAGGCGTCGTGGCAGGTAAGCAGAGCCCTGCATCCAACAGGCCAGGTGTTGGTGGGATTCTTAGCGTGCAAATGGGGATTATCCCAAAGGTGTTTTTTTTTGTTTTTTTCCCAAGAGGCGACTGGACTTTCTGTTTTTTTCTTTGAAGACGTTTTGCTTCTCCTCCCAGAAGCTTCTTCCGCTCTGACTGAATGGTGGGGAAGGGAAGGATTTATATTCCTTGCAGACAGCTGGTCATTTGCCTCCTTTGAGAGGGTCCTTGAGGGCCACCTGTGTCTTCAGGGTGACCTGAGCGTGGTGCAAATGGTTCCCGTGGTCTGCAATTTTTACCTCTGGAAATCCGTTCCTACTCCCACGCCATTAATAGGAAGGAATCCTCTGGAAAATCCCAAAATGGATCAACCTCTTCTCCGAAAATCCCCGGAGGCAGGACAAGAAGCAACGGATGGAAATTAATCAAGGAGAGAAGCAACCCGGAATTTAGGAGAAATTTCCTATCAAGTTTTATTCTGCAGGGACTGAGCGTCCTCGCCGTTGAGCTTGGTTTTCTCGCGGACGTTTCATGACCCAACTAGGGAACCTCATCAGTGCTAAAAGGCAGTGGAGTTTGCAAAGAGGGGGAAGGACACGATGCAACGGATGGAAACGAATCCAACGTAGAACAAACGGAGGAATTTCCTGACAGTGAGAACAATTAGCCAGTTGACTCCAGAAATTGTGGGTTCTCCGTCACTGGAGGTTTCTAAGAAGAGATTGGGCAACCGTTCGTCTGAAATAATCTAGGGATTCCTGCCTAAGCAAGGGGTTAGACTAGAAGACCTCCAAGGTCCCTTCCAACTCTCTTATTTTATTATTCTATAGAAGGGAGGGAGGGAGGGAGGAAGACTCTTAAGTATTATACAGTGTGGGAAAACTGGTACAAATGAACAAATAACAGAAACAAACAATTAAATAACTAAGGAACGAATAGCTGAAGATGGACAATATATAAGAACGACCAGGAATATGAAATACGCATGGGAAAAAAAAATAATTGGTATGCAGGCACCGTCGAAATAGTTCGTCACATCTGCGGTGTTTTCATTTTAATGAGTGGTATTGTATTTTGCATTTGGTGTTTTTCAATGTTTGATAAAGGTTTTTCCAAAAAGAAAGAAAGAAAGAAAGGAGGGAGGCAAGAGATGGGAACTGATCAAGGAGAGAAGCAACCAGGAAATAAGAAGAAATTTCCCAACAGAGAGAACGATTCACCAGCGGAACAGCTGGCCACCAGAAGTTGTGAATGCTTCGACACTCTTTAAGACAGGGGTGGGCAATTCATTTCTGTCGGGGGCCCGCATGGAAAATCAGATCTGCGTTTTGAGGGCCGAACCAATTTTATAAAAGGCCATTAAAAAAAGCCTCCTTCTCCAAAGCAGCCCGTCCGCCAGGCGGAACCCTTCCCGCTCCTCGGCGGGAAGATGCTCCCGCCTGCAAACTTTGCCTTTGCAAAGTTTAAGCCCGGAAGCCCCGTTAAAAAAGGGGGGATCGGCGGGGACTCACCTTCGGAGAGGTCACGCTCGAAGGTGATTTCGAACTCCCAGCCGAGTCCTTTGCAAAGTTCTTTTCTTTCCTACCCCGAGAGCGCTCCGCGCTGTTTTGCAGCTTTGGGGGGCCACGCGGTGCAGGGCATAATACGCCACGCCCAGCGATTTTTTTTTCAGGGGCGGGCCGGATTGGACAGACCAACGGGCCGGATGTGGCCCGCGGGCCGTAGTTTGCCCACCCCTGCTTTAAGAGGACTGTGGACAGCTACCTGTCTGAAACGGTTTAGGGTCTTTCGCTTGGGCAGGGGGTTGGACTAGAAGACCTCCAAGGCTCCTTCCAACTCTGATGAACTCCTTCGTCCCTCAGGCCTAGAGCTGTCCATCAACGCCAACACCGCCGACTATGAGCTGGCGACCGAGGTGGGCCTGAGCCAGTCCCTCTGGTGCTCCGTTAAGCATCCCAGCCAGGCAGAGGAGCTGCTGTGGATGCGAGGGGACAGAGAGGTCAGCCTGCAGGAGGGGAACCGGGTGAATGCCAGCAACGTCTGCATCTCCCCCGTCACAGACGAGGACAACGGCGTTTCCTTCACCTGCCACTTGGCCCGGGACAAATCCGTCCAGATCTCTGTGCTGCTGAACGTCACCTGTGAGTGGCAGTTTAACAAAATATATGTATATATATATATATTTGTTTTCTGAGGTTCTCGCGGGTATTTGTATGTGGATCTTTGGTTGTTCGGGTTTTCTCCCGCGTAAGATTCGAAGTATATAGGCAACGTTTCGATGAAGTCTCCTTCATCATCTTCAGGCTTTTGTCTCCGGCTCTGTGCTTCTCAGAGTAATGGAGATTGCAGCTGCTTCCTCCTTTTAACTGCCAGTGGGGGTGGGACTTGATTGGGTGGGGGCTTGGCTGTGTTCTGATTGGGTGGGGGTGTGTTCTCATTGGTAGGGGGTTTGGCTGTGTTCTGATTGGTTGGGGGGTTAGCCGTGTTCTGATTGGTTGGAGGCGTGTTCTGTTCAGGTGGGGGCTTGGTTGTGCTCAGGTTAGTCTTAGTTGCTGGGGGATTTGAGCTGGTGAGTTGTGATCTTGCTGTTTGGCTTCGAGTTCGTGGTCCTGCTGCATCTTCATAGTGGGTGTCGGTTTGCTTCATGTATGGCTCAGAGGGGTTTGAAGTGGGTAGTGATGCAGCTGCAGTGCAGCTTCTGGTCCATGGTCGTTTCTCATTTTCTGAATGGGTGGGAGTCTGTTTTCTACATGGAAGTGTGGTGGTGGCATCTTGTGTGGCTCTCATGGGTGTGGGTCCAGTGTCCTTTTTCATGTTAGGTACTCGTCTGTTCATGAGGGCGGGTTTCCAAATGGCTGGAAGGCAGGAGGTGTCATCTCGTTTGTTCATGCTGTGTGGGCGTTTTTCTATCTCTATGGCTTCTCTGATTATTCTGCTGTTGAAGTGTTCGGTTTTGGCGATAGTTCTGGTATTTTTAAAATCAATTTCATGTCCTGTGGCTTTGAGGTGTTGGACCAGGGAAGAGGTCAACTTCCTCACATACCTCAACAGCCTACACCCCAAAATACAATTCACCATGGAAACAGAAGCCAACAACCAACTTCCCTTCCTAGATGTCAGCTCCATAGGCTCACCTCTACAAAACCTAGCCAAATTTCTCGCCAAACAACTACAACCTTATGCAGAATCCATCAACTCACACGTAAGAAACTCATTCCAGTTCATCGAGATCATAAAGAAACAAAACTTACAACCTAGCGACCTACTAGTAAGCTTCGATGTCATATCCCTCTTCACCCAAGTGCCAATAAAAGAAGCCTTGACAGCCATCCAAAACAAATACAACCCCCCCAAGCACATCCTAGATCTAACCAACCACTGCCTATCCAATACATACTTCACCTACAATGGACAAAAATACAAACAAATAGAAGGAGCACCCATGGGATCACCCCTCTCACCTGTCATCGCAAACCTCTACATGGAACACTTTGAAACACAAGCTCTAGAAAAATACGACCACAAACCCAAACTCTGGCTCAGATACGTAGATGACACCTTCATAATCTGGCCACACGGGAAAGAAAAACTGAACAACTTCCTCACATACCTCAACAGCCTACACCCCAAAATACAATTCACCATGGAAACAGAAGCCAACAATCAACTTCCCTTCCTAGATGTCTTGGTATACAAAAGATCCAATGGCTCCCTAGGACACACCATCTACCAGAAGAAAACACACACTAACCGCTATCTACATGCACTCTCACACCACCACCCAGCACAGATCAATTCCGTAGCCAAGACACTCATCTCCAGAACAAAATGCTTAGCCGATGAACAACACCAAAAAACCGAACTACACACTCTCACCAACGTACTTGCAGCCAATGGATTCCAAAGAAAGAAGATTACCCACCTAATCCAAAAAGAAACCCCAACCAAAATCCAAGACAGAGAACAAGAAAACGGCAAAGCCCTCCTCCCATATATAAAAGGCACTACAGACAAAATCAGCAAGATCCTCCAAAAACACAACATCAAAACAGCATTCTGCACAAACAGAAAAATATCCACCATCCTAAGAAACCCCAAAGACAAAATCGAATTAGAAAACCAAGGAGTATACGAAATCCCCTGCACTGCCTGCCCTACCACATACATTGGACAAACTAACAGAAGAATAAGTGCACGCATTGAAGAACATAAGAACTCAATCAAAAAAGAAGAAACGACCTCTTCCCTGGTCCAACACCTCAAAGCCACAGGACATGAAATTG